GTAAGGAGGCCGGCTTTTTCTTCAGCCTTCGTGTCAAAAATTCTCTGATGGAATCAAAAATGTCCCTAAAAAAAACAGTCATCGATTCCTTGAAAATTTGCACAAGACGCGAAATCGCATTGAACACTACGCATTGAGGATACAAATCAAAATACCAAATCGCTGCTCCTTACTGGGACGTAGCAGCTTTATAAAATAACACATCCAAACTTGCAAGAAATTTGCCGAAAATTCGTTGCATGCATATTGAGCCAAGTCTGGAATGATTTCGATGATTTCCCTTCGAAGATCAAGATCCCTCGAGTCTTTCAATTTGAGCAAATAATGGATGATATCCGTAAACGATCTGTTGAGGCTCTAAAGATAAAATGCAAGCCATACATTATCATCGTGAAGGAGGACCAGCCTCAAAAGCAGGATTGAAAAGTGGACATCCTCTTTTGTGCTGCTTTTAAGTCCCAGCAAGATTTCCGACATTGCTCTTGATAGACATTGAGGCCTCATATTTGGAAAGATCGGGAAAATGACGTTAAAAACTTCGGAGAGCACAAAAAACGCTTCATCTCTCACTAGCTCCTAGATACGAGTTTAAAATGGCACACATTACATGGGGATCCTTGAAGGGCTCCCAAATGATGCTCAACAGTTGAGGAATGTAATTGGATAGTGCGTTTGGCACGGATAGGATCAGCTGCCTTATGAGAATCAAGCCCATTAGCCGTTTGTTTCCTTTTTTCACTAAGATAAAAGGAAAGCAACTGGCTACTTTGGATCCACCGAAGAGATCTTGATATTTCAAAATCCTTGAACTCGGAGCATAATCTCCCCCCAGAAAGGATCAACTTGGTAATGATTTTGGCAGCCAAGTACATTATTTCTGGTTCCTCTGGAGGATATATGATTCGTAAATATCCCATATACCTATTCATTTTCATAACAAGGTCTTCACAAGATATGTCAATCAAAAGATCTATATGTAAGGAGCCCAGTACAGCTACCGATGGCAATCAATGCAGCATAATGGTTGCATGGATGATCTGAAGATAAATATGCATGGATAATGTTGAAAATTTCTAAAGAAAACTTGGCAAACATGTCTCCAAAATATAAGCGAGAAAGTGCATGAAGCTAACTGGAAAGAAAAGAAAATATACATGCATATCAAGCTCCTTTATAAAGGTTTCCCTGCTAAATGGGTTCCTAAAAGAGAAGAGAAGAAGAGGCCTACTTTGACTTTAGCCCCTCAAAGATTTCATTAATGTCGCCAAGATGTACGGCCATCAAGAAAATTGTTCTTAAAATTAAATGTAAAAGTTTATTATTTAAAATCTTTAATAGATCGATTTCCAGACGCTAGAAAAATAAAAGCACAAGAAATACCTTTGAAGAAAGCCGTCGCTGGTGGCAAGACGATTGAGAGAATCGTCTGCCTGACCGGACGAGCGAATAAAGCCCGAAAGTGCATATGGATGGGATTTTCCAGTAGCAAGACCATTTTCATCAACCTCGGCGATGTTGATTTGCACGGAAGCGTGATCTTTAGCTGAAATCAGGCGTCCAGTAGCAGAGCTACAGGGTATAAGAGATGAGCATGCGGGTACCATTTACGAGGGATGTACAGATCAATGAATTCTCCTTTATCGTTAAGCATTGTAGAATAATTAAAAATTCCTGTAAAATAGCAATAAGTAAATTCCAAGGGGCTTGTAAATTTTTTTAAATTTTAATAAAAACATGCAAACCCCGTCATCCTCTGAACGGCAAACGTTTTCGCTTCCATCTACATACCACACTAGATTAGAAGAGTCCGCCAACGAAACCATCCAAAAATCCAAGATGCTCCTGGAAAAACCGCTTCCAGAAGCTTTGGATTTCTCCTCCTACGCTCCAAAAAACATTTCTTCTGATCTACACCGAAGAATTCTACCAAAACTTACTCGCCTAGACGAGATGACAGATGATAAGATTAAAGAATTGGTACGTGAACGGTTAGCATCAACAACGGAGTTATAAAAATAAAACTTTATGGTGTAGTATTGACAATCGCATATGAGCTATGAAGAGCCCTTTCTTGGAAAATGTGCGGCTTGCATCCGCCTGCAACAACATCGATTCGGCATATCCAGCCATCTAAGATGGGATCATGCAACACTTGGGAGATATCAAATGGCAAAGCGAGTTTTATACATCCCTCTAGCGGATCAAAGGGGGGCAGATCTTCTTGGGCATCATCTTCAATGCTCATTATTGTGTTCTCATCAAAGGATGGCAAGTTTTCTGCTAGCTTTTTGCTGATCGACGATGGAAGGTACGTAGTGGTCGAGGCTTTTGCTCTTGAAAAGGATTTCTCCAAGATAATCGTTGCAGGCTTACTCGATGTTTCCTAAAATAAATGATAATATGGCAACGATACAAGCTCAGTTAACAGCGTAGCTTTTGTAGAAATTTTCTCATAGTTGGCCCTTTTGATATTGGCCAAGTGGTCATGTTCGCGGCGTGCCTTTTCGGACTCTTCAAACTTAATTTGCATCCTAAGCCGGGTGGCCTCGTCATTCTAGAAGCGACAGGCATAAAGACAAACGTGACATACTTGAAGCTTGGCATTTTTTGTGATATTCATCAGATGCTCCTCTTTAAACTTTTCGAGCTCGTCATATATGCTTTCGTCTTTCCCATTGGCTTCCAAAAGCTTGAAGGCTATTAAAATGAGGGCAAACACACGTACTGTAGTCTTCCACTTTCTCAAGATAATTATTGTAGGAAAGATAGCTATCAAAGTCTGGTTCAATCAAGTTCATACTAAACATTAAAAGCGAGCATACTAAGAATGGATAGATTTCCTAATTCTGCACTCTTTCTCTACCAGGATATCGTCAAATAGCTGAGGCGACAAGTTAGACTTTCTCAAGATCAGATTACACACGGGACACGGAGCAGCACCCAGCAGAAAAATTCGGTCAACGCACGAATTACACCTAAATTTTTAGCATCGATAAATACATTCTATGGAAGCACGTGGACATAAATATCTTTATCGACGGGTTAAGATATGAGGTCGTTTTGCATTGCGGGCAAACAATATCGCTTTGTGGCTGTTTTTTGGATTGCTTTGCAACAGTCATTTTCGAAACGGAAAAAAGGGCTGGTGCTATCGATGCTGGCTCACGGAGATCTTTTTTAATTTTTTAAATTCAACTGCATTGGGGCTGCTGGGTTGAACCTAAAATATTCATTAAATTTAGCAAAGCCGAAACTCAAAGTGTAAATTTTATTTTTGATAAGAAATTGCAATTTAAGGGAGCAAATTTGGATAGTTCAATTTCGATGGATAAAGAGGCCTTCACTGATTCACTGCTGACCTCCTCAGTATTTGGGCAATCTGAAAATCCTTTGTCCTGGCATAAGCCATCTATTTTGAAGTTTCAAGCCCTATCACAAGCAAAGAAAAACGAACCGACAATGTCGAAACAAGATTTTTTGAGCTCCATATTTGGCAAGGTCTCCTTGTTTAAGCAGCTTTCGTCCAAAGTATTAGGGTTGATTATTAAATTTTTTACTGGCAGGTATTCTTTTTCGCACCATGCAGACCAAGACGTTGCCGAATTCAATGTGTTTTCCATTTCCAAGCGCATTTTAATTATTGGGCACAATTCCTCGTTTGAAGATCAAGCAAATGATGTTGACATTCCAAATGGACACCTATTTAACGTGTCGCAGCTTGGCTTATATTTGGAAGCAATGTTGCATTCAGCTTTTAAACTATAGGTATGGCGGCCATTATTTTATCTGGAATCTTTCATCCCTGCTTGTGGAGGAGTTTTGTGTTTGCTTTGACCCATCGAGGATTGCCCACTCGTTTTCAGAGGCGTTGGGAGATCTGTCCTGGATGCCTCCTTTGAGACAAACTGTATTTGAGTTCGTACAGGCGATGGCCTGCTGGCTGAAGCTCCACGACTCCAATATTGTTGTCATTGTTTGCAAAGATGCTTTGCACAGGTCCGGTATTGTATTGGATTCGTAATTTCAGGCCTGCTTATTTCCTGTTTATTGTTTTATTTGGGGTGTTTTGACAGCGTTTTGGATTCATATCGATTTTTCCACCAACGCCGCTTTCCCTATGCTATTTGTGCTTCCGATGCATCTTACGGAACTCCATCGCCCTCTTTTGGACGCTCAATGCTTTATTTTGAGGATTTTGTTTCCAAGCCCGCTGTGCGTGATGAACCAAAAAGAATTCAATTGCGGCAAATCATCGTTAATACCATCCCCAAGTTTGCGTCGGGCAACTTTTCACCGGGCATTGCGATCTTTCAAAATGACAGGCTGATTTACAACAGCTTGATGGTGGACGTCGAATACATTACGGATTGTAAAATCAAAGAAAAGACCCCTGTTTCTTTTGAAAACCGTTGTTCGTTTGATGAGAGCTCTACCTTTGCTAGCTCCTCTGAATTGTTTAACGGACTTTCGTCTTCAAGCGGCTTTGGTTTGTGCGGAAATCAAGATTCTTCGTCGTCTACCGATGATCCACCGCGCACGTCGTCTTCTGGACATTGCGCCTCTAACCGCGTTAAAGACGAAGATTCGTCGAGCGCGACTAGTGGATTCATCGATCTGATTCCCAAAAGTGGAAAATACGTGTTCTATCAAGATACAAACCACATCATCTTCAACTTTCAAGATCCTATTTCCATATCTGAAGACATCTATTTTCGTTTGTTTCACATACCCGACGAGTCCATCAAGGATTTCCATCTCTCATACAGCCATACAGTTACTCTGATTTCATTGTATTTCAACACGAATTGGATCAATTCAGAGCTGACTAGATTTACCTTGGAAGATTTGGAGGCCTCTGGTCCCAAACTTGGCCAAGATTTCTCGATTGATTTTGTTTTCGAAGATGTTGAACCGTCGCCAACTTATATCGCCACTGAGGGTGGCGTGTGTTCTCGCTCCCTTGAATCTGAAATCAATTCGTTGTCTTTGATGATAGGAATAGTTCCGGAGTCGATTTTTTTAGAGTCTCTTGTGAACCAAGGGATCCCTCGTTCGCTTGGTAAAATGAAGACTTTTTTACCTTTATAGCAATATTAGGGCTGAAAATCTTTGGAAACAATTTATTCTTGGCACATGAGCTTGTGTTTCAATTTTGCCGTCAAAAGCCATTTTTGGATAGCTTTGGTGATGTGATGTCAAATGGCAGCCAGAAGCAGGACGATCAGCCCCATCAGGGTGTTATGAAAACTGATCAATCACATAACCAGGCAGACGCCCTTTCTTTTGGAGAAAAATGTGCTTCAAGTGTCACATTAAAAGATCCACCGATGCCCCCGCCCCTACCTTCATTTGCAATCTGCCGTCAATCAAATGCAAACCCCTCTTTGCTACAATTTTCAACCAGCGATCCAGCTATGGACTCTTTATCTTTAAAAGCAACAACAACAACAACATCATCATCATCGTCGTCGTCATCGTCGTCATCAGGAGCTATCCCCCCCTTACCCCCTCCATTGCCTACAAAGACGACACCCCCCATTCCCCCTCCACCTCCACCTCTAAAAGAAATGGGCGCTAAGAACAAACCTCTTTTTGGAAGCGATTTTTCCTTGAATAAGCAGTCGCCTATTGCTTTTCAAGAAGGCAAAGAGAGATTAGAGGCTCCAAAGGTCTCGAAAAGCTTTTTGGATTGGAAAGGAATGTCATCTTCCGAAATCAGAGGGACCATCTGGGAAGATATAGGCAACCTAAACATTGAATCCTCCCTCGACAAAGGCACATTTGAAGGTAACAACATCATTCTCATCAATGTAGCTCTTTTCTGCATTGACACATCCTTGACGCTCAATCCGAAATCTAGTCTTTATCGAACGAAAAGCTTTTCTGATTCATCGCTTTTGTATGCGTTTTATTTGTTAATTTAGGCCATCATCGTCAATATTGTCCCTAATTGATCTTCGCAGGGCAAATAACATCGCAATCGGCTGTTCAAGGCTATACAAAAGATTCCTGGGTGCTGAGAATTTGGTGAAAGAACTATATTCAAATACCTGCAGCATCACTTTGGATGATCTTCTTGCTTTAAAACCCTTGCTTCCACTACCTGAAGAAAAAAGCATTTTCCAGCTGGCAGCTAACACTCAAAAGTGCAACACAGGCTCTCCTGCAGAATCTTTTATGATAGCAACGAGCTCCGCGCCTGCGCTAAATTGGGTTGTAGATGCAATGATTATGCAGAGACAATTTGATTCGGAATGCTCCGAAATCATTCGGCTATTGTCGCTGTTGAAAAATGCACTGCTTGTTTTGAAGAAATCTTCAACGATCAAGTTGTTGATGAAGAATATCTTGGATGGCTGTCAATTGGCAACACTCGAGTTTGGGCGCTCAAAATCTCAAAAACAGCAAATCTTGATGAGAGGTGCAACAAAGGGGGTCAGAATCTCCTCCCTTTCTAGGCTTTCTGCATTTCGATCCGATAGCGGACAAAAAACCCTGCTACATTTCATTGCCGAGTCGTTAAACGACTCTTCCATAGCTGAGCTCAAGAAAATTCGTAGCTTAGTTTCGGAAATCAGAGGCACCGATTCTACTTTTCTTCGCGAATCCATACGCGAATTGAACCTTAGCATCGAGAAGATCAAAGAAGGGCCGGACACCGGTGAAAGTGGTGAGATGGTAAGTCAATTTCTTGCTGCCATCAACATATGGGCAGCTGAAAAATCCCAAAAACTTACAGACTTGTGGGACTTGTTTGAAAATTTTAACACCTTGTGGGAGGAGGTTGCCGTTTATTTTGGAGAACAGTGTTTTCTAAACTCAAGCACCGAATTCGAGGCTCCACCAAACATACAAAACATTACGCTAGAAGAGTTTTTTAAGCAATGGGACGATTTTCTTAAAGAGCTGCTTGATGCACACTTCCATTTGGAATTAGAAAAGTGGCACCCTTCAGCTCAGCGATCATCGGGGCATTATGGTGACCAGCAATCTTTGTACAAAATGCTTTAACAAATGTGATGGTTGTAAATTTTAAAAGTAAAATTTAATAATTTTTAAATCTGCCATGTCCAGAGTAAGGAACTCCCTCAATATCTTGTGGTTGTGTATCTCTTTCATCCATCCTCTAACATGTTGATGTAAATGCTAATTTTATAGATCCATGAATATGAAGTGATTGGAAGAAAGCTCCCTTCAAAGGAGGAGCCAGAGCCCCCTCTGTACAAGTTGCAGATATTTGCTCCAAACAAGGTTGTTGCCAAAAGCAGATTCTGGTACTTTGTTAAAAGGCTAAAGAAGGTCAAAAGCTCTGCTGGAGATATTGTTTCTATTAAGGAAGTCTTTGAAAAGAAGCCATCAACCGTTAAAAACTATGGCATTTGGATCAGATACGACTCTCGCTCTGGAACTCATAATATGTATAAGGAATATAGAGAGTGCTCTCGCACCGATGCCATAGCATCTTGCTACCAAGATATGGCATCCCGCCATCGCGCCCGCTTCTCTTCAATCCACATCATCCGCATTGAAGAGGTCAAGGCTGCCGATCTTCGTCGTCCTTATATCAAACAGTTGATTGACTCCAAACTCAAGTTTCCTGTTCCCCACAGCACAAATCGTTCTTTCCGACCCATATTTGCTGGTTGCCGTCCAAGCACCGCTGCTTAAGTATTAATAAAAAGTAGGAAATAAGTTAGCCAGGTTTTATTAGCTTCTTTAGCACTACCCAATATGTTAATGGAAGTACGATGTTGTCGTTGATGGGGCTATAAACTTCAACCACAGAAGTGATCGTTGATAAAACAAGGGACTCCCAAAAGCTGATCTGCGAATATGAAAGAAGCATCGATGAAAGAAACAAAGCTACAATGCAACAAAGCGCCCCGCCTACGGTTTTCCCATTGGAGCCAGGGATACGATATATCCCATAAGTGCACCCGCCAAGGGCTGCCGCGGAATCACCAAGGCCCAGGGTGATACAACCGGACAGCGATTCCAGCGAATTTGGGGCCGATATTAGCAAGGGGAGGGTCACACCTGCCATCAGATAAATATGATCCGTGATAGGCTTTACCCTATTCTTCTTGTGAGAATGGCCGGTAAATCTTATCATGTATCCAGTAATACATGTTGAAACCATCGAGAAGGGGTAATGAATACGAATAAATTCAACAGCCACAAATGATAACAGCACCACCGAAGAACATGCCTGAACTAGGTAGAACACCGAAATATCATTGCAAAATCTAATCGGAACAATGATGATGCAAAAAATAGCAAAGTGAAATGCCTTCCTTAAAATGTTGAGTTGCAATTTGGAGTAGCATTTAAACTCCACTTGATGGCTATTGAAGCGGGATTTCAGTGCTTCAATAAGATAGAAAGCCCCTAAAAGAACAAGCATCCAATACATATAAACTAGCATGGCATGGTATGTAAAAAAGGCTAAAAAGTAATCAGAAGGCAATCCCGATCTGGGATTCAAGATATTCCACAATATGGCAGCCAAAATTAATAAAAGTGTCGACACTCGGAAATTAATTTGTAAACACTGGGAGGGATGTTTGTACAACACTCAATTGCATGCCAAAATTGTTATCATGTGTGCTAGCCCGCTTTAATTGTTTAATGGGGAATTAATTTTGTGCCGGTTTGTTCTTCAAACCAAAATGCCTGGCAACTAAGTTACAGCTCGAGCGGTATTTCAGCATAGGAAAAACGACACACATGGCAGAAAAAATCAGGATGATAGTCCAGATAATAGGGTTAGACGAAACGTAAGCATGATATTGCTCCGGAATTAGGATATATGAATATTCTGAGGCGGATGAAAATGCTCTCTAAAGAAAGAAAGGTATACATACTTGAATATTGGAATTAAATTCTTTATCGTCTAAATAGGAGACAAGAGCTTTTTTGTCCCAAAAGTGACCAGAAATAAGGGGTTTCATCGTAAATTTATATTCAAACGACTCTGAAGGCAAAAGTTCCGGAATTTTTTCTTTTATATTTCCATCATGTAAAAGACTGAAATTTTCTGGAGCGAAAGACGTGTCAAGAAGAAAGAGATCATAAGCACTTCTAAAAATAAACGTGAGAATGGGAGGACCTGTCACCAACATTATAAATAGTTATTTGAACGGCACAAGGCATGTCCTGTATAGGCTGTTGAATAGTCTTTTCAACCAACAAAAATGGTCCCATGTTTGCTGATGCAACCAAAACCAATGACTAAAGGGGGTTAGTTGAGCCAATTTACCAGGAAAAATCCCAATGAGGGCAATAAAGTACCAAGCATTTAGCAGAAAAAATCAAATCATTTGATCAATAAAAAGATTTTGCAAAATTAAAACTTTATGCGAATGATTAATTTTTATGGTAGTTAATGAGAACAATTGTCATTTTTCCCACGATGAGAATGATTCATTTTCGGCACACGATCGCAGTCCCGTCGACGAATTAAATGCACTTGTCAAAAGATATTCATATTTTATTGGAAAATCGCCTGTTTTTCAGAATTTTATTAATTTTAAAATATCTGGGCTCAGAGGCACCAGAGGCCGAAGATTTTCAAAACAAAGGGCACCTGCTGCGCCCAGCGACCTTTTGACGCCGAAAACCGCGCCAGAAGATCCTGCTTTGAAAGACAGCCCATATATTTTTACCACCACCCCATTTTGTAGCCCAGCAGTATCCTAATTTTAGACGTTAAAAATGGTACAATGCGCCATTATCAACTGGAAGGGTTGAATTGGTTGATTTCACTTTACGAAAATAATGTAAATGGAATCCTGGCTGATGAAATGGTTTTCAATGGTTTGTTTATCTTAGGGCCTCGGTAAAACTCTGCAAACATTGGCTTTTATCGGCTATTTGAAGATGATCTGCAATACCGACGAGCCAATTCTGATTGTGGCGCCTAAAAGTACCATTATCAATTGGTTGCAAGAGTCCAATAAGTGGATTCCCGATCTCAAAACTTTGGTGCTTCATGGAGACAAGTCAGAGAGGGCAAATATCATCAAGTCAATCAAGTCGGACACTTCAAAAGACGGAGTGGCTCCCTTTGATGTTCTAATAACTTCTTATGAGATTGGAATGATTGAAAGATCTTTTATAAAAAAGATTAAATGGGTTTATCTGGTGATCGATGAAGCTCATAGAATAAAAAACGAACAAAGTCTTCTGTCGCAAATTGTCCGTCTGATTCCGACAAATTATCGATTATTGATCACAGGAACTCCGCTTCAAAATAACCTGCATGAGCTTTGGGCTCTTTTGAACTTTCTAATGCCCGAGCTCTTTTCGTCTTCAGAAGAGTTTGATGAGTGGTTTCTTCAGCTATCGTCATCCAAAACTGCGTCCAATGGCTCATCCAAATTTGTATGCACTTTGTTGCCTTTTTTTAGGAAAAAGAAAGCAAACAAGACAATTCCTCCTCCGATAACATAATAGATCAGTTGAGGATGCTTTTGAAGCCCTGTTTGCTTCGTCGGCTCAAATTGGACGTTGAAAAGGGACTTCCGCCAAAAAAGGAAATCTGTCTTTTTGTTCCGCCCAGCCCGATGCAAAAACTATGGTATCAAAAGATTTTGGAGAAAGACATCGAGTCACTGATCTTGCCAAAGCATCCTGGATTGGGAAAACTTCCAGCGACAACCCGGCTAATGAATATTGTGATGCAGCTCAGGAAATGCTGCAACCATCCGTATTTGTTTGATGGAGCCGAGCCAGGGCCTCCATATGCAGCAGGATTCCATTTGATTGAAAACTCTGGGAAAATGATCGCTTTACACAAGCTGCTCGTTCGCTGCAAAGAAAACGGCTCGCGCGTTTTGATTTTCAGCCAAATGAGTCGCATGCTTGATATTATTGAGGATTTTTGTGAATGGCTCAACTATGGTAGGCGACGCGCATTTCTTGCTGCTAGATTATTGTCGAATTGATGGACAAACCGATTCAGATGTCAGAGTTCGGTATGTGGAGGAGTACAATGCCCCAAACAGCTCAAAGTTTATATTTCTATTAACTACACGTGCAGGCGGGCTTGGGATCAATTTATACACCGCAGATGTGGTTGTTATCTACGATAGCGATTGGTTTTCAATTTTTCTTACTTTAGGAATCCCCAAGCCGATTTGCAAGCTCAAGATAGAGCACACCGAATTGGACAAAAAAAGCCTGTCAAGGTTTTTAGGTTGTTAACGGAGGTAAACTCGCCATTGTCACCGTAGAACTCGATTGAGGAGCGTATTCTTGACAAAAGCTTGAGGAAGCTTCGCCTGGACCAGTTGGTTATCCAACGGGGACATCATGTCGTGGATTCGCAACCCTCTAGTGTCGAGCTCATTAATATGATAAAGTCCGGGGCTTCCGACTTGCTAGATGACGATAGTCTTCATTCCATGTTAGGATTGTGGTCATATAAACATATAGGAGGGATGTTTCTATTGAGTCCCTGATCGAGCAAGGGGAAACAAAGACAAGGGAAATCTTCCAGCGATACCAAAGCATCGGTATTGAGGATCTACACACCTTTTCTGTTGAATCGGGTTCAAGCGCCCCCGACCTGAAAAACGGAGATGATCCTCTGGTAAAGGCAAGTGAGTTTGATTTTGACCCTTAGAGGCTTGAATCATCGCTCACAAGACCCGGTGTCGATTTGTCTGGCAAAAGAGGAAGGCGCTCTATGTTTTCCACGGAGGATCCGGAATATCGAGAAGCATTGGGACTTCCGGTGGTCAAGCAGCCCATCACCAAACCGCAGAGGCAAGCGAAAGGCCTAAGAATGTACCAATTGGCATCCGCAAACTCATCTAATAGATCGCCATTTCAGCTTCACCCTTTGAGATTGTTTTCGCTTCTCGAAAAGGAATCCAATTGGAATCGCCGCAATTCTGATTTTGTTATCCCAATACATTTAAGCGAGTCTGAATCTTCCAGAATCGACCGTGAAAAAAAGCAAGACCTGATCCGAGCAGGTATGTCGCTTTGTGTAACGTCGTTAGCACAGCCTCTAAGCGAGTCCGAAATCAACGAAAGAGATCTATTGTTTGGCCAAGGATTTATTGATTGGTCTCGAAAGGAATTCATTGCCTTTTCAAAAGCCTCTGAAAAGCACGGCCGGTAATTGTGTTTTCTTACTGCAGTCATGCGTATGAGAAAATTTCCACCGATATCGGAACCAAGGATGTGGCGGAGGTTAAAAGATATTCGGAAGCGTTTTGGTCCATGTATCCTGCCTATCCTGGTGTGTTTTCTTGCTTTAACTTTTAGAATTGGTGAAGATAGCCCACAACATTGAGAGAGGTGAAGAGAAGCTGCAAAAATCGCGAGAGCTTTACAACCAGATCTGTTGCTATGTGAAATACTCGAAAAATCTTCCTGATTCTGGGTTTCCGAAAAGCAAATTTTGGACCCCTTCTGACGACAACTATCTTGTAGGTGTTTTTCATTAACCCAACTGTAGCTGTTTCTTGTTTCTGTGCACGGATTTGGGTCCGATTCTGCCCTGTGGAGTATTCGAAATTCGTTTCAGACATCTCCTTATTATCGATTTAATTGGTATTTTCGAACCCGCACAATCTCGGATTTTAATAAGAGAATAATATCTTTGCAGCCATATGTTACGCGCTGGATTTCAAACAAGCAAACTTCAAAATATTGACATCAGATGGATGGCGTATTTTGAGGCGATTGTATTTTTAAAATAGAAAATAAAATTAACTTATTGTTCCAATCGTCTCGCGTCCAGTGCAATGTGATCGGGACCAAGAGGCAATTAACGCTTTCGTCGTCCTAACGCAGCATCCAAGACGAGCATCACAACCGTTAAAGTATCATACTGTCAACAAACGCCATAAAATTCAATCACAAGTGCCTTTATTTCCCGAGGTTGCTATTTATCTGTAAAGATAAGCGTTGAAATATACACATATAAATCATCATTCTGCTTGGTTGAAATTCTCAATTTCAAGCAATATGGTTCCTGGTGCATCGCCAGAACTAGCAACCGCCTGATTAAACGATGTTTGCAACGGCCGCAATAAGCTTGCATTGGTGCACGCAAAGTAGAAAGTCATTCTTATCGGGTTATTACTTAACGGTCTTAAATGCGTGGAGTTTATTGTCCGATGAGACCTTTTGGCGGAGCTCCTCCTGGTGGCCATTTCCCGGACCAATGGGTGCTTTTTCGAGCTTCTTGAAATACTTGGATTTTAGGTTTTTTGAGCGGGCTAAATTTGACATATGGCATATGGCTAGTCTGATGGCATTTCTCCAGATTCTGCATGCTTCTTAATCGCCTGGATTTTTGCAAATTGTCCGATCATTTAAGCTTCTGGAGCGATTTGAAGTGGTTCCTTTAGCTTGCGCAACATACTGTTGATCTTTGTTCGAAATTGTCCAATTTCTGGAGCTGATCGTTTTTTATTTGCTGGGCCAAGTTGTAATAAAGGGAGAAAGAAAATAGAAATGGCAATCAAAGCTATGAGAGCAGAAAATTTCGATATCTGCTAAAGCTAGCTGTTGGTTGAAAAAGCTGCTAGCATTGCATGGATTCTTTTGATCCGCTGACAAAATTAAATTCAGCAACTAACGATCTGACCGATTAAGCTCAACTTTGGTTATCAGAGGTCTTGTGACCTGAGCACTCGATTGCACCAATGCAAAGTAGATATTTGATAGCCAGACCGCCAATCTTCTTTTTGTGATCGCTTGTTGTGTACTAAAAGAATGCATGTATGTTTCGATTTTTCGTTGGCTGGGTTAGCATTTATTGTACACATGGAGCTTAATATCATTTCAACGTACAAACGAGATACTCGAAAAGATCTGCTGGTTGCAAATACATATGCTATTCCCAAATACACGGCTTAATTCTGTCACGTAGTCGGGCTTTTTGCAACTGGGTTCCTCGAAATCCACTTAAAGTGTTGCGAGTGCCTCGGAAATTCGTTTACAGTCTTGTGAATTTTTCGGAAATAAAAGCTAAAATAAGATGAACATCTTACTTCAAGCAGAAGAAACGGCGATGCGTTTAGCCTTTTAAAAAGCTTGCCCAAAAAAAAGCTAATGAAGAGAGCCAACTCATTTTTCGAATCGTTTGTGCTTAAAAACTGCTCAAAAATGTGCAAAATTGAAATCTGGACGTTGAAAAATGGCGTTTACCTTATAAAATAGCGACTCTGCTTGGTGCTTTACGAAAATTCGATAAAACATTTTCGCAACATAGTGTGTAGTGGAACTGCCAAGCCGAACATCCTCCGTTAAAAGCATGCAATAATTGTCAACGATGCTGCTGCAAATGAAAGAAGCTTCAATACGCAATAAAAAGTCCTCGGTTCTTTCGAAACTTTGTTGGGATCCTATGAAGGGAAAAACAAGCATCAATACCGGAAATATTGTCCTCACTAACGGTTGCGTTTTGTTTGTTCTTTTTACTCTGAACCGCCAAGGATCCAAAATGGCTGCCTCTTGATTCTAAAAGTCGAAGAATTATATGGTTAAGCTCAATCAGACACTTGAGAAGACTAACAGTAAATGCAAACAAGCAAACCCCCTGGACTTGGTATAAGTAATTGACTTTGACAAAAGGGCTATCGAACTAATATGCCCGAAATCATAAAAGAAATTGCACAAAATAGAGTCTGCTGAAGCGACAATCAACTCAGAATGCTTGTCTACATTGCCTTTGTGCGCACTTTTCAATCGCCCTTTAGACAGTGTAAAATCAATCAAAAAAAGCACTGCCGAAAGGCAGTCGACGCTCGAATGAAGCAAAACAAATTGCTTTTCATCGGCATAAGACATCAGTCTTTTAAAGATGTATTTACTGAGATCGTCTGTGTTCAAATAGCTCGAAAGAATCGATGACGCAGGTCCAAGTGTCCTTTTTTGGCCATCTGGGAGCGCTAGGAAAAAGCGGATCGAAAATGCCACAATGCCAATAAACCTCATGTGGTCTTTTTCGGTAGCACTGCCAGAGTTGTAAAATTTGGTGTTGAAAATGTCATTATGATAGCTACTTTGAAATGAAGACAAATGCGACAAAAACGACCGTATCAAAGCTCCTGCACTGCTTGAAAGAAATTGACAAGTAAAAGAAAAGAGTGTGGATGTGTTCCTATTGTTACATGGGCTCATCAAGTCCAAAAAGCTCTAGTAAACATTAAGATGTTACCGCCACACCTTTTGGGCCTGTTTGCGATATTTGGACAACTTTTTGCCATCCAGTTCTGGACATTGCTTGAAGCCTTCAAACACATATTCAGACCCGTTCTAAAAAACAAATTGAAACGCGTATTTACAAACCGTGAGCGTGTGCGAAAATGTGCCGCCAAACATGGAGTGTCTTGTTGGAGTGTGGGCATTTTTCTTGCACATATCCTTCGAATCTAATAAAGAAATGTCACAATCACTGGTGTGTGATTGTAATGCGAGGGAGACTAATTCGGTGGGATCTTTTGAAGCCCAAAAACAATGTATAATTTCTACCAGGATGAGGATCCTATCGTTCCATCTGCTATTTTGATCAACTAATTCTGAGGTAATAGATAGCAGCAAATCAAGAAACCCAGAGTTGGAAAGTTGAAGGAGAAGGAGGTCCTATGGATTACAAAATTCCTCAAGCTACTTGAATCGATTTACCATGCAACAATACATCAGGAACAACCAATAGGTTTCGAATAAGCATAAATGACAGCTGAATGATGGAAGATTGCAGAATATCGTTGTTTGCTTCGTGTTCGCTAAAATTATCCAAATAAGATACCTAGCCGCGATGCATTCTGAAATGGCTTGCACAAGAGCGGTAATGAACCTTGCTTCGCAAATGACAAGCTTATTTTGTAAGTGTAGTTGCAAAAGCTCCTTTGATAATATGAACGGCGAATTGATTTCAGAATCCTCGCTTTTAAACTCCGACTGTTCAAGCGAAATAGGCCATGTAATGGCAACCAGAATTTCCACTATGATGTAACTCAACATGCTTACAAATTATTTTCGACAGTTGGTATTTAGATGGAGAAATCACGTATTTGGTTTGTTCTACACTCTGGCGGTCCGTATTTAGCGAATCTCCCTCTTCGTTTGGGAATAGCATGTATTCGCCAAGAGAATGTTCAAGAAAAATAGGAATCAGGTGATTCTTGATCACATTCCATTCCGTAATTGTTCTCAAAAATTTGCGATTTTGTTTTTGGATCTCATATCTGACTATCTTTTTCAAATCCTTCAGGCAATCAAAGGATTCTTTATCAAAAATATATTCGGTCTTCAGATCACTTTTTTCGCCAGTGGTTTTGTATTTCCCCAAACCGGAGCAAATCGAAAGTAGCAACGAGGAAGAGGAAGCAGAAGAAGCCGGGGTGGAGGTGGAGACGGAAGAAAAAGTCGAGTGAACAGCCATTTCAACAAAGAAATTAAAATTAAAATTAATGAAAGCCAAACTGCTTGAGGTGTATTGGCATGAAAAACAGCCCATCTATGCACTATGCAGTGATTCTGTGTTCAGATTTGCCTCTGCAGGTGCTGACAACTCTATCAGAGTAACATCGGCTCATAATATGTAGGTCTGGACGTTCTCAGATTCATATCAAATTGTTCATCTCAGTTCGCTGCACAAACACACAAAGGCAGTAAACTCGATATCTTTTCACCCAAAAGGTTTCCCACTTGTGTTTGCTAATTTGTAGAAACCATTCTTGCCTCTGCCGGTGATGGTATCGATTTTTTGGCTATTTCTAGGCGCTCTTTTGATCCTTTGGTCACTTCAGGCGCGATCTCCAAATGCTGAACTTGGCATGGCCTCGACAGATGCGTCTGATCAGAATGGCTCGGAAAACCAAGAGACGTGGAATCCTATCGTCATTTGCAGGTTTGTCTTTGCATTAATTGAAGGATTGCTGACTCTGAAGACATCTACGATCTAAAGTGGTCCCCTTGCGGCAGTTTTATCATCCTGGCCCTGACCAACAACAATACCGTAATTTGGTGCTACTCTACAGGTAATGCACACGCTTGCTATCCGTTAGGAAAAATAACAAGGATACTTCGCGATCATTCTCATTTTGTGCAAGGCATTAGCTTAGATCCGCTTGGATTTCTTTTTGCAACCCAAAGCAGCGACAGGTACCGGATGTTTCTCGTAATTTTGAGATCCGTAAAGGTTTATTCCTATGAAAATCATAAGAAATTCTCAACCAAATGCATACACATTCTATCTCGTGTGCCCTCTAATCAATGCGCCGAAGTTTCAGGCAAACCCACTTATGCAAAACTGTTCAACGATGAAACGTTGGTCACATTTTTCCGAAGGCTTTCGTTTAGCCCAGATGGGTCTATTTTGGCCACCCCATGCGGCATCATTGCAGATGCGACGTCTCCCTTTGCTAGGCGGCAACACTTGTGTCTATTTTTGTACTCCCGCGCTAGTTTATTAACGTAACACCATATCGGATTTGTAACCTTCAAGCACTGCTCAGGCTATGCCTTCTATTGTTCTGGGGCCATTTGATAAGGCGCCGGTTGTTGTTCGATTCCATCCAAGTTTGTTTCAGCTGATCGGCGGAACGTCGTTGATATCTCTACCATATGCAATGGTATTTGCAGTTGGAACGCAAGATTCCGTTATTATATACCGCACCGATCGGGCTTCTCCGTTGGTTGTGTTGAATGGCATGCATTTTGCCGCGATCACCGATCTTTGCTGGACCAAGATATGCAAAGATGACTCCATTGTTCTCGTTATTTCATCGACGGATGGGTTTTGCTCATCCATTGTTTTTGAGAACAATGAACTTGGAACGATATACGCTGGCCAAGTCGAGGAAACCATTGTAGAGCCAGAGGAAACCATTGTAGAGCCAAAGGAAACCATTGTACAATCAGCCCCTTGTATATCTTCCAAAGACGTTGTAAGAGCACTTTCTTCAAGCATTTCCAAAAGGTCTTTGGAGGCTGAAATACAAAGCTTTGTGTGCTGACAAAATGGAGCTTGAAGAATTACAATAAATTTATTTGTTAAATTATTACGTTTACAACCTCCCACGGTCGCTGCCGTGGCGCTTTATACTTATACTGCCTTTAGTTCTTCCTTTTCCGAGGAAGCAAAATTTTCTTTACAGCCATATTTGTAAGATATTGAGCTAACAAGAAGCTCATAACAAAGGAACATAATTGCCGCGTTGGGAACGACTCTAAGGAGATGGGCAGTCATGCCGCCATAAAATGGTGCTATTCCCTCTTCGGTGTAAATCCTTCGAATAGTGGACACCAAGCCTTTATATGGAGCCTTAATTTGAGTTGGCGTTCCAACCACCCCTTGGCGCAGTCGAGTTCGTAAAACCTCATGGGGATACGTCAGGGAACACGCTACGACTTTAGAAATTGCTGCCGCAAAAAAGGCTGCCTTTCCGGAACCGCTTTCGGAAGATGCTTTTGATTTTTCTTTAAAAAAAGCCTTTAGCTTTTCATAAAGGACCCATTGAATCGCCCCCTCGACGCACCCCAAATAGGATGCTGTCATTCCTTGATACAGCGCCAACGGACCCTCGTTACGAACGATTTTTCTGAGACAATCAAAAGAATTTTTATAAATCTTTGGGGTCGACTGAAGCTGGATTCTAGTTTTAACCAACCAAATTGGATTTGTTGCTGTGGTGGTAACGATTCCTAGCATTGAAAATGAGAATGAAACATGCATACCTGCTGAAATGGCAGATACGATGTGAATTGGGGCACTTTCTATGCCGTTGGAGAAAAATTGACTAAAATGAGTTTTACACGTTTGATAGGAAGAAAAATAGATTGCCCTTGAAGGCATGACACCGACCAATGTGGCGCCAACGCCTTTCCACAAGGAGAAAAAGCCCTCGTTTAAATAAATCAATCTAGAAATGAAAATAGCAAAATACCGAAGCGCTCCCAGGGTGGTAGACACGTGGCCAAAGGTGGCTCGAAATAGATTTTTCCGGAAGCTCCATTTTACATTTTCGGTGTAATATTGCGAGCTTTGGAACCTAGTCTTGACTAGCTCAAGTGGGCACGTTATCACAGCACTGACGGATCCAGCGATGCCGCCCGAGAAAAAGTGGATCCAAAAAGGATACTGTACGTCCTGAACGTTTGATATGCGTATTTCCTTTTCAGAAGACGAAGAAGAACAAGAGGACGAGGCAAAAGCAGATGTCGGCAACGATGAATCTGACTTTGAAGGGATGGTCATGAAAATACAAATTAAAAGCAACATTTTACAAGTTTATCGATGGAATTTAAATTCAAAACCTGCAAGCAAATATTAATAATGTCAACTCCCTGCCGTCGCCGTTTGATGCGAGATTTCCGATGCATTCAGCAAGACCCGCCGCCAGGAGTTGCGGGATCGCCGCTTTCGGACAACATCATGCTTTGGCAGGCCGTAATATTCGGGTATTGCATCTTGCGCTCATTTTAGCCCCGAGGATACCCCATTTGAGGATGGAACGTTTCGCCTGGTCCTCCGGTTCGACGAAAGCTATCCCAACAAGCCGCCATCGGTACAATTTATCTCCAAGATGTTCCATCCAAATGTTTATCCCGATGGCCAGCTATGCCTGGACATTCTTCAGAATCGCTGGAGCCCCAGCTATGATGTTTCCTCAATACTGACAAGTATCCAGTCGCTTTTGCACGATCCAAATCCAAACAGCCCTGCTAACGCACACGCGGCCCAACTTTACATGGAAAACCGCCAAGAATACGTGAAGCGCGTTAAAGAAACCGTCGAACAATCCTGGTTTGATGCAGATGATGAGTGCCAAATGTTGCCCGATCCGTCTAACGGAGCCAGTGTTGCGCTCGAGCCTCCAAACGAAAGCCCGCAAAATTCTGAACAACCCGCTGAACATAACTAAACTGATGTATATAATTTTCCAAGCTTCAGACCATTTAAGCAGCGTGTATCCGCAACAGATATGTGATTTTTAATGCAGAGCGGCGCAAGGTTTAATTAAATATGCAATTGCAAATTTTACGCCGCCAATAATAGCTTGTATGCTTCGCTTGATTGTTGAAAACAAATTATTTGTCCGCTTGGCGGGGCGGCATGGATATCTGCTTTAAGGTGCATGGATATCTGCTTTAAGGTGCATGGATATCCGTTTTAGGGTACATGCAAATTTTTATTCCCTTAAATAATTTATCGGACCGGATTTTAATTATTTATACATCCCCATGGCCTCAAATTGGATACACGAGCTTTTGGTGCATGGCAGCAATAAGCTTATACACGATCGGAAGCCTCCCATCTCGTCTTCTTCGTTTTACACGCCCGGAGATCTTATCACAAACGACATAGAGTCGTTTATTTGTGGAAACGGTACCATTCTCGACAGTTCAAATTCATCCATCTTGTCTACGGTTGCTGGAAATGTCGAGTACATCAACAAACTTATACGAGTTATCCCTCCAAAGGCAAGGTACTTTAAGCTTTTGTAAATTCCAAAGATACCTTGGCGAAATCGGGGATGTCATCGTTGGCCGAGTCATCAGGGTTTGTCAACGAAAGTGGGCCATCGATTTAAATGGCCAACAACCGGCTACCCTGCAGCTATCGGCAATTTATCTTCCCGGCGGCATTCAGAGAAGAAAATTAGAAGAAGACGAGTTGCTGATTCGTCAGTTCTTCGTCGAGGGCGATTTGATTTCCGCCGAAGTGCAGGCTATTCATGCGGATGGCTCGGTCTCCATTCACACTAGAAGTGTTAAATATGGAAAGGTACCCCTTTGTGCTTATGTAACTATTTTTGCAGCTTTGCAATGGCATTTTCGTCGCCGTAAATCCACGGAATATCCAGAGATCAAAATTCCATTTTGTTTCCCTCGCCTGTGGCGTCGATTTAATAATAGGAATTAACGGGTTCATTTGGATCGGTTTACCAGAGGACACACAGGCCAGGCTGAACACGGCAAACGTCGTCGATGGCAATCCGTATGCTCTTGCCAACAGGGTATTTGCTCTTTGCGTTTAACATTTAGAACCTTTCTGTCGATGATCGTCTTTTATTGTCCAGGGTTCGTAACTGCATACTGATTTTGGATACCCATTCCATTTCCATTTCAGAGACTTCCATTCAAAATTGTCTGCAAATCAGCTCGGATTTCGAGGTGCCTTGTCTCCTTGATCGGGACATATCAATTTCCATTGCCTCCCGGCTTTTCAAAGATGCTTACAAATAACAACGACAAAAATAAGGCCTTTTTAAATAAATTTTTAAATAATTGCACTTTGTGCATGTTGCTGATGAACAATAATAACATTTTGCTTCGATAACACCCGTGTGCAATGGGGGCCCTTATCTTTCATGGAAGACTTGAACAATTAAAATTAAAATTTAATTTCAAATAATGCTCAATGAGGAAATTAGCAAATTCTCGGCATCCTCATTGTACTATCAGCAGCATCAAAACAAGCTTGCATCGCTTCTTGAGTCCTTAGCAGAGCAAGTCGAAGCAAACCTAGATCATGCCAAATTTTCCGGTACCATTTTTGTCATAATTGCCGTAGAATCGATAAATGTGCTTGTAGATGAATATTTCCTTATCATTCCATCTTCCTGCTGCGTTTTTGACCCCTTAATGCAAAAGGCTTCGCAATTAATTAAAGCGGTGTTAATGAAAAATGTCTTGGAATTGTCTTTGGCACAAAATACAGAAACACCCTCAACAAGCGCCTCTTCATTTTGCTCCCCCTTCTCTTCTTCTCACAGGGACGACAATGTTTTCGATGCACTTCGTCTTCTTTCAGCATTGCGTCGGACTGAAGTGCTGGAGCCAAAAACTATCATCTCTCTGCTTCTAACATGGCTCTCTAGCCCCGGTTGTAGTGAGCGCACCGGGCTATCCATATTAAAGATCTTTGTTGATTGGCACAAGACCCTTTTCTCCAAGGTGCAGCATGAGCTGGAGACGACACCGGTACCGCAGGCACAGATTCCACCATCCGCAGCGCCTAGTTCGGTTACTTTGTCGCAGTTGATTTCTTTCTTCCTTTCATTTGTAAAGGATCTATTTAGTTGGATACATTCGCATTCAATGGGATCTTCTAGCGCTTCGCATTGCATTCCATCTCACCAACCATCGGCATCAAATTCTTTAAAAGTTGCCACCGAATGTCCGCTGATCATCGTGGTGCTGTTCCAGATTTACAAGAAACCCATGGCCGACTTGTTTGTTAACGGTCCTTTAATGATGCAATTTGTCGAATTTTCGCGTACCACACTGTTGGATCGACAGTTGACTACTTTGGATGATAGTAGCTTACCTTTAGAGGTAATTTCTATCCACGTTAAGGTACTTTTATTTCGTTAATGAAAGATTTTGTCCCTGCTAACGTTTATGGCCAGGGCCATTCCAATATCCATGAAGTCATTTGCACCATTTTTTCCAAAATTACTGATGAGCCTTTCTGGAATCATTCCAGAAGATTCATATGGGCTAAGAAGGGAAGTGCTGATTGCTCTTCGCCATTTAATGCTAACGCAGGATGTTAGGCCCCATCTTGGAGCAAAAGTGGGCGAATTTCTTGACCCATCAAAATGTCATTTGTTCAATTTTTCCATCGACGAGGAGGGCGTTTGTTCATCTTCTCTGCAATCAACAGCGGCGCGTACGTTGCGACCGATTATTATTACCACATTTGCTGATTTTATAGTCCATTTTAGAACGGAAATCCCGGTTTCTCTTTTCAATTGGACTTTGATACCGGCATTTGTAAGCTTGCTAGAGTCCGAGCATAACCGCTCCGGTCTTTCTTTTGGCGTCAGGGCCGTGGCGGCTAGGCTGCTAAGTACGATTGCGGAACACTTTGTGGTCGGGCTTCCTCTTGCTTCCCACCCGCAACTTACAATGGCCAATAGGAAAGAGGCCTATTGGAGAATATTTTACTCGTACTGTAGGGCCATTCATATGCTTTCGGAAACGCCTGTTTTCGGTTCTGAAGAAACTGGCATAGAAAATTTTAGAATTCTGTTTCGTGCACTAGTTACAGGCCTTAAAGTGATCTTTTTCGCCTTTCGCTCGCTTCAACCATCACCTGCCCCCTTGTCTTCCGCAATCTTTTCGGTTCGAGGTATCCTTCATGAGGAGTCGATTTGGTTTGTCCGTCTTTTTGGGGATCTTGTAGCCACATTGGTGCGTCTTTGTGCGTCCGATCAAAAATGCATCCAAGAGCCTTCTTCTGGTCTTTCCTCTTCGCTTTCGTGTGAGACGATCAATTTTTTTGCCAAAGGATTGGCATATGATGCGTCTCTTTTGCAAAGCCAGCTCGCACAAGAGGAAAAGGACATGGTGGAGCAGATTGCGCAGATTTTCATTTTGCTGGAGGTTTCTGTTTTTTCGGACATCATTTCCTCCAACTGCCCAAACATATACAATGCAATTACATCTGTGCCTGCACTCTCCGCACTTCTTCAAGTTTTTTTGGTTGGACCTGGAGGGCCGGAGGTTGCCAAAATCACACTTCTTCATTTGCTTCGATGGCTTTCCAAGAATCTTTTCGGCGGCAATGAGCTATCCCAAGTGATGAATATTGATAGTGCAGCCCGTCTGCAGCGTATAATGAAATTAATGTTGATGGCTTTGGGGGCTTATCCAGAAGAAATCGAGGGTGTTTGGGCAGCTTTTCTTCCTGAACTGATCCTTTCGTGTTTACGTTGCGGTTCTTCCAAAGTGTCACAGGAGCCTTTTCATGCCCTTTTGCTTCTTAGAACTCTTTTTCGAGCCATTGGGGGTGGCCGCTTTGAAATTCTTTATCGTGAAATTCTTCCTATTCTGCCAACAATTCTTGAGACACTCAATGCCCTGCTTCACTCCATTGAGATTCTTCAGACATTTTCCAGAGGTAGCCATGAATCAAACACACCGCTAACGCCTTCATACCCACAACCCACGGATTTGCTGAAGGATTTGGTTGTCGAGCTGGCGCTTACCATTCCTGTGCGTCTTTCTGTGCTGCTTCCATATCTTTCACTTTTGATGAAGCCACTTGTGTATTCGTTAAAAGTTATAAGCTCACCTTCAATGTCAATGATGATTATGATGCCATCCGCCTCTGGTACGGCGTCACAGAATCAAGGCGGCTTTACTCTACCATTATCAGCAACATCTGCCGCCTCACAAGCGTCAGCACCTACGTCTAACATCTCGAGTGGCTCGTCATCCTCCTCCTCATCTTCCTCATCGTCTTCAACGTTTATGACGCCTGAATTGCTGTCTCAAGGCTTGCGGACTCTGGAGCTTTGTATTGATAATTTGACGCAGGATTTTCTCGATCCCATTTTGTCCAGTGTCATGCCAGAGTTGCTTGAGGCTCTTTGGGCTCATTGCAGACCTCTCCCATATCCTTCCCAATTTGCTCATACTGCGCTTAGGATCCTTGGAAAGCTTGCAGGACGTAATAAGAGACCCATACGGCAACTAAATTTCAAGACGCATCTTTCTTCATCATTGCAGGTGCCCTTAGAGGCTCAGCACGAGCAGGCTTTTTTGCATCGGCTTATTTCACAGTGGAATGAGCTCTTGTGGCTGCCAGAATCACAGCAGTCGTTCAAGAAGCGAGATAGCGCATCTCCCTCATCACCTGCTCATTATCTTCCTCGTATCACTCGTTCCTATTTGGAGGAAAAGCGCTTAAGGCATACTAAAGAGCTGATCGGCATCCAGATCAGATATCTAGCCTACTTTTCTTGGTTTAATCACGACGAGTCGGACCACACTAGTACCGTGGACGGGCATTTCTTTTGCGTTAATGACCCCGTAATTCTCGATAAAACTTTCGATGATTTCCAAAAGATGGACGACAAGCATCATCATCATCATCATCATCTCCCTTCGGCCTCGTTCTTGCATCAAATCAGAGAAAACCTCGAACTGGGGCTTGCCGATGCTATGAGGGATAGCGAGCGCAGTAGCGATATTATTGATATTTTTTTTGACGAGTATTTATGTTCTGAAAATCCACAGCTGAGAATTTGTGCGTGTTCTCTTTTGCTTCGAGTTTTGCGCGGGACATGTTATCAAAATCATCCTGCCTTTAAGCAATTGTCTCAACAGGAGTTCCAGCATGGCGTCGAGGACATCCTATTTCGAATATGCGGGCTTTTCCGAGAAAAGTCCATCTATGCCCGTCTCTCTGGATCTGACCTGTTACGCGAAATATTCTCCAAAAAGAAAAGGTTTTCAGTTGCAGATACCACTCTCACTTTTTGTGCCGAAGCCCTTTTCAAGTCCCTTGAGTTGGCTAGTCAGCATTTGGTTGGCATTTGCTCGCTACAGATAGCGCCCGAGCGTGCCCTTGATTCCCTTTTGCTTGTTCTTATTGAGGAAAGGAACGACACTCCTTGTTTAGGGTTGCTTGGGGTTTTGACGCAGGAGCTTGCATCTCCTCTGGAAAAAAATAGGGCCATGGCACAAGGGATGCTTGAACAGCTGGCTAAGAAATTTGAAAAGCAGGATGGGGATGTTATTGCTGCAAAGTCTGGGGCTCTTGGTGCTTTACCCCATATACCGGTATCTTCAGCTCCCGCTGCGCAGCCAGCGCTTGCGATTACATCATCGCAAACACTCAATTCATCGGTCCCCACACAAGATGCACGGCCTTCTATTCCAAGTGCCGGAATAACTACCCCACCCGTTCCTGTGGTATCATCTGCTGCAGGTCGGGCTCTTTGTAAGCTACTTGAGCCCATCCGATCTACAATCATTGAGCAAGAGTGGCTTGGCGGTCCAGAAGGAAGAGACATCTCTTTGCTTCCTATTTCTCATCAGATCGGAATAATTGAAGCGATAGCTTTTGTCATGAAAAAAGATCCGTCTTTTTTGGAATTTTCCCCATCTTTTCTTGCTTTGGTTACAGATTGTGTGGGCATGGCTGATACCATTGAAGATCAATCTTCAATTTCAATGGGAGTAAATTCGGTCTCAGCATCGCTTGCTACACCTTCAAGTGCAGGTCCAGCACATGCAGCCTCAAACACAACCTCTTCATCGCCTGCACCGAGCGCCACCACTCCTTCAGGGTCACAGATTGCCTCCTCACCTTCTGTCACATCAGCAGTGGCCAAGGGAAGCAATGGCCCGTTCGGGGCCCGGCTTCGCATAGCTTGCATCCGGCTCCTTACGGCAGCCATGGGCTCGCCTACTTTTTCAGCACCGGGAAACCATTTGGCACTCAGGAATCGAATTGTGTCCATCTTTTTCAAGTCTCTTTATGCTCGAAATCCTGATATAGTGGGCGCAAGTAAAACAGGTCTTGCTCTCGTCATAGCCATGCAGCACAAGCTACCGAAAGAGCTAATGCAGCACGGTCTTCGTCCCGTGTTGATGAACCTCTCCGATTATAAGCGGTTAACCATACCTGGGCTAGAGGGTCTCGGCCGCTTACTTGAGCTTCTCACTTCTTATTTTAAAGCCGAAATTGGTCGCAAGTTGCTAGAGCATCTCAGGCAATGGGCTGAAGCTGCCAAGGCGGCGTCTCCTTCTGGGCCTCCAGAAATCTTGGCGCCAGAAATCGGCATCATCGTAGCCATTTTGGATGTCTTCCATCTGCTTCCACCAACCTCATCAGTATTTCTAGAAGAGACGCTGGTCGCTCTGTGCTCACTTGAAGAAATGGTTCGCAGGACAAGAGCCTCGCCTTTCAGGAGGCCCGTACTGCGCTATCTTTGCAAACACCTTTCGGTTACCATTGAAGTGATTGTTGGGGGAGAACGACTGAAGGATGATCGTATTGTTGGGCTTTTTTGTGAGCTCATGGCGATGCACAGTGAGGCACGGGACATTGTGCTTTCTCCAGGAACTTGGGAGCTTCTGGCCAGTCGTCTCGATCTAGGAGAGAACAATCAAAGCTGGAGGGACAGCCCAGGGGCCAATGCAAATTTTTCCGAAGTCGTTGCCTCCATGCTTCTTTCTTTACAAAGAGGTACTCTTTCTGGGCATCTTCAACAAGACAAAGATCCATTGTCTTGCAAGAATCCCTCCGCTTCCGGATCCTCTTCAGTATGCAAGCTTCTGAGCCCGCAGCTTGCAGAGAGTGTCTCAACCCTCATTGTGCGGATGATCCAAAGACATAAGGTTAAGCCCCGCAAGGGAGGAGAGCGGATACTGCTTCGTTTTGGAGATGCCTTTGCCACTTCACTCGAAGATGTTCTTTGGCAAGCAGGTACCGCCCTGCTGGTCGCCACAGCTCCTAAGGCATCTGATATAGCGAAGGTGTCCTCTAGCGATGGTGTGCTTCATTGCAACGAAAATGCACCTCTGCTGCTACCTCTACTAGCTGCATTGGTGGATTCATTTCCACAGGTTCTTGAGCAGCGTATACAGTGTGATCTTAACTTTATTTGCAGCCTTATCGATGCCGTTGATCCCTGTGATGACCCTCCTAATTGGGCTGCTCGGGAGGCCTTTCTTGTTTCTTGGATCAATGATTTGAAAGAACTTGACAAGGTTTCACAAGAAAAATTGGTAAAAATCATCGAAAAGCGGGGGTTCTGCTCTTCTGCCCTTCTCTTTGCCATCGCGAAAATGTCGGTTCGTCTCAATTCGGAGTCTTTAAACGAGTGGTGCCACACTACCATTACTACTGTTGCCAAGGAACTTCCTACCGACGGTGACGAGGATCGGTACAATCTCGCTGCGGCTCAGGTGCTTCTTTATGCATCTCATCCAAATGAAGTAGGTGCAAATGGAGAACTCGAGTCTTCTTTCCGTGTATTGCTAGATTTTGGTGGCTCAAACAGCACTATTGTTGATTCTCGACGTCTATTTGCAGTGATAGAGATCCTGACAATAGCGTTATCAATGTCGCTCGAACGCGTACTTTCCGCCATTCTGCATGTACTTGCAGGCTATGGCCCACCTATGACAAAAGGCCTTGGCTCAATATCTGGATCCGAGCATGTTATGGCGTCACTTTCTCAACAACACGGAATTGTTTGGAGCGCTCTTGCTTCAATGACCGCCTGCTCAAATCAAGCTCGCGTGATACCAACCTCGTTTTCATACAAAGCTCCAGGGTTTCCTCCCTTTTTGGGGATTCCTTCATCAGCAAAGATAGAAAATTCAACAGCAGGTGTCCCATCGCCAATAAAAACCATATCTCCCCTGCAGATCACGGCTGCAATGGGGCAAGCTCCTTGTTGGTGGTGGTACTCGGCATTGGAAGTGATAAGCTCGCTACTTTCGCAGCCACAATCACCTATTTCTGATCTTATGAAAAGTGGCCAGCTCTTAATTATCGATTGCATTATAACTCTTTCCATTAACAACTCATCTGCAACGACTCCTTCTCCAGTATCAACAACATCTTCGTCCAAGCAGCATCACGTGCGAAAAAGGACTCGCGTCGCCCAGGCGGCTCAACCTTTGCCTTTGATACCGATCCTTGGGCCTGGTGTTTGGGAGGGCACCTCTGAAACCCTTTTTCGAATCATCCTTTCTGGCCAAGGGTATACCCTGTGTTCTTCTTCTCTCATGGCAAAGCCTACCTTTACGCCACCGGTGAACCCCTCATCAACGGTGTGTAATGGTGGTGGTGCCTCTTTGGCAGCATCGGTATCATCAATGCCTTGCCTGGAGTATGATGCATATGCATTAAAACTGGCTATGTCTGCTGCAGAAGCTGGACTCTCCTTGCCATGGCATTTGGTTGATGAGATTTTCCAATCCTCTCCAGCACAAACTGCGTCCATGATCCCACTGCCTGCAAACGCAGCTCAGGCATCCTCGTCTGCCGAACCTCCCATGGCTACTCAAGCTTTTGCGACATCGTTTTCGGAATTGCCTAAGCCTTTACGATCGATTCTTAATGCCCTCTTTTTGCTTGAAATGATATTTTGCGTAAATGCCAAGGAAGAGCGAGAAAGATATGTGAAGATAATTATGGAGCGTATCCCTTCGCTTTTTCCTGGGTTCTTTTTTTCATACCCAACATCGCTGCTTCAACATGGTGTTAGTGGGGGAGCAAACTCATTCTCGTCTGCAATGACATCTTCTCCTCTTCTTTCATCTGTGCTCTCGCTTCGTATTTCACTGTCGCTTTCTGGTCTTTTATTTTATAAGAAAAACGGTCAAGTTGTGGAAAGACTGGATGTTGTTCCCTCTGATTTCAATCCGGCACTCATAGTTTCGCTTCCTTCACTGCTGCCTGTCTTGCTCTTTATTTGGTCGAACTTTGGCGCTGTTTCTTCAAAACGTACAACTGCCGCCTTGCCGACAATAGCTGGTGAAGTGTTGTACGCTCACGAAGATAACAATGACTTTCAGGCGAAATCTACCGCCTCCATCGCAGCTGCACCTCCAACATTGCTTCCTATTTCGGTGCTAATTAGCATGCTGTCAGATCTGGCACGCGAAGCACTTGCGCCGGGAGCCCCGGCCTCTGCTTCTGAGGTTGCTTTCTGTACCGCCATTATCACGGAAAAGGATATTTTAATGGGCGGTCCTCAAGAGATACTCTCCACCATTCGTGGCTTAGCAATGATACTCATTTTTGATATCATTGAAAGGGATGCTTTGGCATCTAACTTGGTCTCATCTAGCGAGGAGCGACAAAAATTCCTTGGCGTGATCGGAATGATTACCTCGCATCCGATGCTTTATCCTCTTGCCGTAATCGAAGATATTCTGGTGAGAATTTTTCACTGGCTCAACGGGGGAACTTTCATGTTGAAAGAGAAAATGGACTTGCTTTTTATGGCTGCCTCTTGTTACGCGAAGCTCCGCGAAAATTCCTCTGATTCGGGCCATCAGGCCATGGAAGGTCACTTTGGAGCCGGCCGTGATGATCACCCAAATGGCCAAGATGGTGATCATAATCTTCACCATTGGGGTGATTTGGGCCTACTTCTAGCCAAGATTCGGCTCGGAAGTATCCGAAAAGTGCGCCGGGCTATGGTTCAGCTACTTTGTCTGGTGTATGGAAAGTCCCATGTATCAATGGATCTTCCTTCCCGATCTACCCCTGAAGCGATGCCCTGCTCGTCATTTGCACATTCAGAAGTAACCTTTCAACTACAGAAAGACTTTTTATCTTTGATGGTAGAATGTCGAGGCGAGCCTGAGCTGTATGATCAGCTAATTGAGGTGATTTATCTTTCTCTTGAATTTGCGCAACCATCACTGGAGGGTCCCTTTAAAGCCCTGCGTTATATTCTTGGCGTTCAGAACTGGGAGGCCATTGCGACCTCATATTGGATCCACGAAGCTTTGGCCCTCATACAACGTGCTCGAGGACCTTTACTTTCCCAATTTCAAGGTCCGATTTCAGCCCTAGCCCGTGTAGATGGAGCTTGGGCTCATGTATGCTGGGTACGATGTTTTGGCGAAATCGCCATAGCTGCTTCTCAAAACCGCGAACGCGAAGGAACCGACATGATATTGCTCTCAACCATAGGGGCTGATCTCTCATACAATCTATCACGGCCATATCATTTGCTTAGCTCCTCTTCTTCCACTTCTTGGTCCCCGCGAAACCACACGCTACCGGCATGTACGCTGTTGGAGGCTATTTCAGCTCTCGCATTACATCATCCCCAAATCATGGTACAGTTTGGGCTCAGTGAGATGCTGCTACGGTACCTTGCCAAAAACTTCAATTGGTTTGCACCTGTACTTTCTCTTGAGACCATGTGTAGGGCTTCACAAAATTATGAGGCTCTCGGCTATTTATATGAAGCAATGGGAGAGAGTGATGGTGCATTCGGGGCACGGAGATGCCAGGCACGCCACGGGCAGACCATTCTTGCGAGCTCGCTGGAACAGGCCGAATATCTTGAAGGTGCACAAGTAGTTTTGGAGGCTGCGCAGGCTGTTGCGCGAGCAGGACGTCTTGCCACAGAACCACTTGTCAAGAACGAAGTTGGAAACATCGTCAACATCATGAAAGATCCGTGTGATAGTACCGCTTGCCCTAGCGGTGATGGATCTTCCTTTTATTATGATGCTTATGGTGCCCGGAAAGGTTCATCTTGTGATGCAAAAAAGTCTGAAAATGCCTCTTCCCATTCATTCGGAGAAGGCGGGGATGAAATGCAACAATGGCAGGAGCGATGGATCGCTGCTGCGCGGCGGCTGCAACAATGGGACGTTTTGGTTGAACTTGCAAAGGTAGACAATGACATCGACCTCTCACTTGATGCATCTTGGCGCTTGTTGGACTGGAGCACCTCTAAAGATCAAGCCGCTGTGCGCGCGGCACTAGAGCTTGTTGCGGATGCCCCAACACCTAAGCGTCTTTTTTACGATGCTCTGCTTCACTTACATCAAATCATCACGGGAGTTGTTGGAAATATCGGCGGGGGCGGTACTGGTACCAGCGCTGGTGCTGGCCTTTCTGGTGGGATCCATGGGCCAGGAGCTAACGCATCCTCTGGATCAACAGTCCTCTCTGGTCGGCGTGTCGCTGAGTTGGGCCGCCTTATCGAGGAAGGTTTCCAGGTGACTCTTGCACAATGGGCCGCCATGCCATGGCCACTTATCGGCTCATCTCAAAATGATTCGCTATCAATTCTCTTTCAGCTTTTTGTGGAAGTGCAGGAAGCTGCCGGACTTTTCCTTGGTGCTGGAGGCGGTGGAGCGGGCAATCTTCACCTTTCCAATGCATCACCGCTCCAGCCCCAATTGACTATGGTGCAAGAGCTCAGAGGAATCTTGGGCACCTGGCGGGAACGGCTTCCCTCCATCCATTATGATTCCATTGGGGCATGGTCTGAGCTGGCTGCTTGGAGGCAGTCTCTCTTTTCGGCCATCAATGGGCTCTTTGCAGCCACCGTTACGGAACTAGACAACATGGTGATAATGGGTGGAGCCGCAGGTCCTGGCAATATGAACGCCCCATCTACGGCCCCATCTTCGGCCTCTTCTGCTGCATCTTCTGGAGGAACCCTGATTTATCGCGGTTATCATGAAAGCGCATGGCTGATCAATCGCTTTGCGACTGTAGCTCGTCGCCATCGTCTTCCAGATATTTGCGTACAGCTGCTCAATAAGATTTACACGCTGCCCAACATCGAGATTCAAGATGCTTTTTGGAAGTTGAGCGAGCAAGCACAATGCTATCTTGATGCATTTTACGATCCGCTGTCAGCACCATGGCTGACAGCGGCCGTACCACTTCACGCTGCTGCTACGTTTGGTGGTGCTAGTGGAGGGGCTACAAGTGCAAATACGGACACCAACAGCAGCACGGCACAAGCCACCGAAGGATGTGCGGATGACCAAGGCGCAGCCAAATCCAGTTCCACGGCATGCTGTGCGTCTCCGGGAACGTTGTTGCTTGTAGCTGGGCTTGAGATTATCAACTCTACAAATTTGGCATACTTTGGCGCCTCTCAAAAGTCGGACTTTTTTTCCCTTAAAGGCCGTTTTTTGGAGGCTCTTAACCTCACCGGAATTGAAGAAGCAAACAAGGTTCACTCGCAAGCAGTACAGCTGGACATCAACCACGGACGCGCCTGGGCTGCCTGGGGTCATTATAATCGCCGCCGCTTCCGTGCATTTATCGCCAAAAAAGAAGAAGAAAATCATGATTTGGGCGTGGAAGCTGCTGGCACGTGCTCCGCAGATGAATCCTCATTGACCGCTGGAAGATCTCCTGGCCTAGCAAAACCACCACCATGTTCGCTGAATATCACATCCGCCACTTCACTGGGGACAACCTCTCCGTCGACGTTGACCTCATTTACTGCATTGACACCGTATCCGGAGGAGCCTAACGCACAAACATTTGCAATGCATGCTATTCACTGTTACTTGCAGGCAATGATTCTTGGAACATCCTCTTCCTCTTCTGCGTCTCATCACCAAAATGCCAACCAAAGACGCAATGATCCTTCAACAGCATCATCTTCTGTGGCATCTGCCTCTTCTTCTGATCCAAACGGGACAAACTCATCTTCGCATGAGCGCTCTTTTTGCGATGAAGATGCTGAGGATCTCCGCTATGGCTCTGGACTGAGCAATGGGTGCACGCACAGTCAAGCTTTGTTACTTGCTTCTATGATTTTGAAGATGTTGCGAATGGCGCCAGAGCTTGCAGGCATTTTTGATCTGTATTTGGCAGAGCTTCCTTTGGCTCCGTGGCTACCGTTTCTGGAAGAAATGCTTGATGACTTGCGAGATTCTCCGGGCTCTAGCTCAACCATGGAGCTAGGCTCCAGGCTACGAAGCTTATTGCAGCGCATTGGACGCCTTTTCCCGAATCTTCTCTTTTATCCGCTTTCAGCACGTATTCGAAGCAAAGCTTTGGATTCTAATGGAGACGAAATGGCAGCGCTATTGTCTATGCTACGGGCAGTCCATCCTTTGGCCACGGAGACAATGATCATCTTTTTGGGGGAAGTGCAAAACAGCCTAATGTCGGCAAAGAAAAACAATCACCTGCCCTCAAAAAAGAAACGGTGCAATGTGGTAGTGAGCCCTGTGCATGTAACTTCGCGTTGGCTTTCTTCGTTCCCACGTCTCCCAATGGATGATGAGCTCGAATTACCTGGTCAGCGTTTGGTATTACCACGCAAAGGCGATACTGGGGCATCATCTACAAAAATCGACTCCTTTGGTGCCATCCTGCGCCAAACAGATGGTCATTATGGGCTTGTGGTATATCTTAGTGATGGCAGTGTGCGGGCTATTACCATTTTTAATGACACCGAAAGGGTCAATGCCATACTTGGTGCGGCCACAGCATCGCGGCTTCTTTGGATGCTGGGCGGAGTTGCCTCAAAGGGGCGTCTGGTTCGCCAACGGGCATCTCCGCTGCTCACGTGGAATTCATCTTTGTTGCCACTAATTGCCTCTGATGCTCTGAATGGAAATGGATCCTGCATGGTTGTTCTTGCATCTCCAGACATCATTGTAGACCCGCTCTCCATGGCTCAATGCTTAAATACGACCACCGGCGCCGCTGCTCAGCCGGCGGAAGTAGAAATTGCAACGGCAGGGCCAATGAAGCCCCAAACGCCGGCTAAAGAACAGGACATACAGATGGCGTGTTCCTCAGTACTGGCAGCATTCGTAGCTGCACGGCTGGCCAATTCTCAAGACTATTGGCTTTATCGCAAGTCGTTTGCACTACAATGGGCTGCTCTGATCACGGGATGGAGCATCCTGGGAAGCGTACGGCAGCGCGATTTAGCCTCAATTGGGTTAGGCCCTTTGGCGCACGGTCGGCTCTCCTGGATTGGCGCTGCGCTGTTTGAGCGTCTTGACGCTACGGCACATGAACTGGCTTTATCAGCCACTGAACGGGCTCCAAATGCCTCGCAAGAAATGTCGACGCAGCCCAACTCTGCTTGTGCTATCAAAATTGACCCTTCATCGCTGCGTTATGATACCCAAGCACCGGGTATGCGTGTGCTGCATGCTCCCCTTGTGTTCCGTATGGGACCTGCACTGCAAACATTCTTGGGCCGTGTTTTTGTAGATGGGCTCTTTGTGCCATCCGTGCATGCCCTTGCGGATGAACTTTCCCATCGCTCTGAAGAAATTAGCGATCTCTTTGATCTTCTAGCTGGTAGCCAGCCAACGATGGAGCAACGGGTTCGTGGTCCCTCTATTCATGCACGAGGGGCTTTAGAACGCATCAAAGTTCTTGCTTGCGAGAAAGAAAAGGACATCATTTCTGCACATGTCTCTGCTTACGTGAGCCAGGTCGTCTTTTCCCAAGAAGACATTCAGGATGGGGGATCAACAGCAGCCGGAACCCAAGCTACCGTCCAGAGCGAATCCAAGGTCAAGCAACCACTGCCAGTCTCACTTTATGCACCTATCGTCGAGCTCATTTCACAGGCATCGAAGGCCTGTCAAGATATTTCTGGCGTGGACCCACGATGGCATCCTGAATTCTGACCTAACCCTGATGGTCACCAAGTCAGACTCCCGGTGGTCGTGGCATCGAAATTGAAATTTCCTTTTGCCATCTATCATTAGCGTGTGCCTTGGTATGCTGATCTTTGGCTCACCGATTTTTGGTCGATAGCCGCGGCTCAATTGAAGGATGCGCACTTATCAGAGGTGTCCGAAGTTTGAATAAATTTTGTACATTTAAGTGATGGTGATACCGCCATTTTGGACGTCCAAATACCTTTCTGAGTGTGGTGAGAAGAGCTGGAATCTCTTTTATCGTCGTAACAAGGACCACTTTTTCCGTGATCGTCACTGGCTCGGTACTGAATTTGCAGAGTTGTCTGGAGAGGGGGAAGGTCATTTCCTGCTTGAGATTGGGTGTGGTGTAGGGAATCTGCTTTTTCCGTTACTTAGAGAGTTTCCATTGCTGCGTTGCTATGGTGTCGAGATATCCACAGAGGCAGTAAAGCTGATCATGGAATCACCCGAATATGAGCGGTTTGCACATCGGCTTTGGGTGGCCGCTTTTGATTTTGCCACAGATATCTCTCAGGGTCAATTGGCCCTTGGCCTTCCCATGCACAAGAATCAAGACATTAACTGTAATTTTGGCATGCAAGGCCTGTGCTTGGATGCCAGTCCAGCCCCAACATGGAAGAATTTTTACTCCCTACTTGACACGACCAAGATGCATCCAAGCTTTACACTCGCGACGCTCGTCTTTATGCTTTCAGCAGTACCTCCAGCCAGCCATAATCTAGTGGTCCGGAATGCCTTTGAGGTAAGCCTTTCTGCATTGAATCCTAGCTCCTCCGGCCAGGTAGTGTGCTCTTCTTCCGCGATTATGCAGTTAATGATTTGGCACAGCTCCGCTTTAAAGAGGACAGAAAAATTGACGAACATACTTTTGTACGGCAGGATGGGACGCTTTCCTTCTTCTTTTCTGCAGGTAGGCCTCCACGCTTTACTTTTTATGTTTCCTATCATCACCCGTGATTCGGGCTAACTTTACCATTAACCATACCCTTCACCGATCCCATTTGACATGCCCATTTACTATTTATTGGCAGAGTACGCGAAGGCGCTTTTTTCAGGAGCAGGATTTGTAGTCCTGGAAAACAGGTACGTCACGCGGCGGACCGTGAACGCGAGAGATGGCCTCGATCTCGAGCGCACATTCATACAGGCGCGCTGGCTTAAACCAAGGAGCCTTCAATAAACTAATCATACAACTAGACCAAAACAAATCAAAGGGCGGAGTCAGAACGCTAGCGAAATGGAAATTAAACCCCCCCCCGATTTCCAAATGAGACGAGACCCTGCGGTATTTATAGCTAGCCTAGAGCCTGCGTAATACGGGCAGGTGGGTATGCGCGTTGGCAAAAGGAAATCAACCGCTTGATGGACTGGATCCACTTGCGTTGACGCTCATCGTTTAGCACATGTGCTACCTGATTCGAGTGAATACGCTCCCGAGCTGAACGCTCATGTATACAAACCATGGTTACGCCAATAGGCCATGGCGCATTACCTATTGAGAGGCGTATATAGGCGTCGTTTGCCTTGACATATTGTTTCGTCTGCAAAAAGCCGACAATCTCCATAAGGTGTTCAATCACCGAGTCCGGAATATTTTGTTCTTGCAAAAGCACAAAAAACGGCATCAAATATTGGCTGGTTTGGGTAAAAATTTCGGAAAGAAACTGCTTGTTCCTGACAACAGGCTGCAATTCGCTAATCACCTTCAGATGCAAAGATTCAGGCTGGTCCATTTTCGTTTCGACGCCCTTCAGGGCCATTTGATTTTCCGGAAATGCCCTGGGCTTATGCTCGTGGGGCAGTTGAGGATGGAGCACCTGTCCGTTGGTTGGTTCTTGCCGGATCTCGGCCTTTTCCCATTCTAGTAGCAATTTTCTAATGTGAGAAATTAAAATGAACAAACTTGAAAAATAGGAAAAGGAACTCGTGTGATGTCATGCCGTGTTCTTTGTTCATCTTGAGATCGAGAGAAAGTGTGTCTTGATGCTCGAAAAGAAGCGTGGAAAATCGGTTCTCCTCTGAATTTTCAATTGTGTTTATCTTTATCGTTGCAGCTTTGCTGTAAGAAGCTTGGTGGGGTAATGCTTCCTTTTTTTCTGCAGAAGAAATAGGCTGACACGGAACAGTCTCTTGTGGGGGAATGCATCTCTTTTTGACCAATTGGCGCTCCTCATGTGCAGATAGATACGAGTTCACGCGCTCTTTTTCAATATCTCTTCTTGCAACGTACAATTTACGTGATTCTGAGCGTGTATATTCAAGTGATGCCTTTTTCGCCTCTAATTCGGCTTTCAATGCTTGCATGTGGAATTGATATTTTAAATTTTAATTTTATAGACCCCTCTTAATGGCGATTGGCGCACCAACAAACTTCGAACTAACTATTTTTGGCGGTTAAATTCCGATACATGTATCCCAATAGCGTAATTGTGGAATTACTTGCATCAATCAACGCGCCCTGTGCAGCCTTCATATTCATATTCATATGATCCAAGTTATCCATTTTATCTTGATTCCAAATATATATTCCCTTGAGCAGATCTAAAGGTTCGAGCTTTTCACCCAAAATGGGTATCTTTAATACACCGCTCGTCAAGCCTTGAAGCGAAAAGGTGAAATTTGAATCGTTTTTAGCAACATAGTTTCCCAATTCCCAGATTTTACCTTTTGCCCCTTTAAAAGAAAGGGTGTTGTCTTCTTTCACGGTAATATTTACACCATGGGATTGAATTACAGCTGGCACCAGTGCATGATCAGCCCATTTCTTGAAATGAGTAGATACAGCATACCGTAGTTTCTGCTCCTCTTCAGCAGCATTTGAATAATTGCCTTTGAAAAACTTTTGTACTAAATCTTCGTTTTTTAGAGTTTTCTGGTCAAAAAACTGGGATATTTCGTCGTCGTTCTTGAGAAAAGAGTCCAAGTTTTCCGTAAGGATCAAAAGAAAGCTTTGTCGATTGTCAACACATTTCATGTGGTGATCTAATTCATCACGAAAGGTTTCCCCAGGAAAAGATTTGTTATTAACAAAGCCTCTAGAAATGAAAAAGATTTTGAGAAATAATTCGATAGACTCGGTGCAATAAAAAGACCTAATCCATTTGGGTGGGCTGCTAGTTTCGTTGGACGGGATTTTTTCTGCAGTAAAAAAGCCATCCTGCCTGGGAAAGTAAAACATGGGCTTCAATGCTGAAGGAAAATACGTCCTATCTTGAGACCCATTGAAGAAAACATAAAAGTCGGTCACATTTTTCAACCTCCATGTGTAATCAGGATATTTACCTGCGAAATTACAGAATAATCCATTAGCTCTGTTGTATTCAGCTTTTTGATCTTTGGAGGAATCTGTGGGGGAATCTGTGGAGGAATTTTTGGAGGAATTTGTGGAAGATATGAAATAAGCGCTAAAGCCGATCACCGTGCATATCCCAGCTAGCTTGAATATATAAGTATGAAGATGCTTCGATCGAGAACGTGCCGGAACGGCCAGACCATATGCAACTCTTAACGCAAGTAGCGTAGCGATGCAAATACACGCTGTAATTGCTACAGTCAGCATGCCATCTAAACCCGTATAGTGGGTCTGCATCTTTTTTATGGAATTTTTTAGCCACATAAATGAGTCCTGTTTTTGGAGTGAGATTATCCGCGATGTTTTGGAGGAGGCGTTTTCGACTTTGGGGATCAAGATGGCACTGGGCGTGGCAGCTGCAGCCGCAGTTGATGGCTCCCCAGACGATGTCGGGCTTTTCAAAACCAGAGCCACAACGATTAAAAACACGAGAACGGTGACACATACTGCTCGTCTTACGATTGAGCTG